GTATTTTTTATTAATTGTTATAAAGTGAAAATAAATGATGAAAAGTAATTGAATAATTAATTTAGAATGAATAAATAATTATGATACGTAATGCACTAGTTGTAACTTTATATGTGAAAAATGTTGTTTAATATGTGATAAGCCATATGATAATATAATAATGAATATGTTCATTGGTTGGTTTTTTTTTTATATATAAATGTAATATTTAATTATAATTATAATTTTTATTGATTATATTTTTCATAAAAAAATTCTATAAATTAATTAATTTAAAGACACATAATTTGAAAATCAAAGTCCTTGATTGGTTGATAAATGTTTATGTTTTACTGAATTATTGGTTAGATTTTCAAAAAACAAATATAAATGTATGGCTTAGATATTTTATTTGACGTTCAAATTGGATAGCAAATTCGCACAACAATTATCTCCTAAAAAAAAAAAAATGAGGAATCTTAATTTATAATTCAATCTCCCTTAATTATTTTGCAGCAATTACAATACAAAGTGTTATTTTGCATCGTGTAATTTTTTTTCTCAAGGCATGAATTTTTGTATTTCATTTCAAGTTTTATTATCAATAAATTTGATCTAATTTTATATTGAGTTTATTTAATTATGCATTGATTTATTAGTTAATTTATTTGATTTTATCGTACAATAATGAATATATTTATGAATTTGTTTTTAATATATTGTTAATATAATTTTTTTAATTTTTATAAATGGAATTAAAAATTTACAATAAGTTTTACTTTTTAATTAATTTTTTATTTTTAAATATATTTTAAAATGTAATTTTTTCACTTTTTTAATTTATTTGAGAAATTTAAAAATTTTAGTAGGTATAAATGAGAAATTTTTTTATATTTATTTGTTGATAAAAAGTTTCTACGTGTGTTTAATGGCCACAAAAAATTATAATTTAGCGATAAAAACAAATAATAAATATTAAAATTTAAATGTTATACCAAATATCTCGTTTTAAAAGTAGATTATAATATTTTGATATTAATATTCTTTTCGAAAATTGCTTCTTCCAGATTACTTTTAAAAAGGTTGAATTGATGCCCAAAAAACGTCGTTTTGGAGGCCAATAAATAGGCTTTTTTCTATTTTCTTAATTTTCTCTTTCTTCCCTCTCTTTTTATAAATTCAGAGCCTTTCTTTCTAAACTTGGTCTCTTTCCATCGACTGTCGTGGAGCTCAATTTTTGATCAATTGTTATCATGCATCAATGATCAGTTATTTCAACCAGTACAAAAAAATTTTAAAAATCTTAGAATTTGATCAACTTTCTAGTTTTTGATAGTAAAAAAATTTCAACAATTATTAAAAAATTCAAATTTTTTCAGCTTCCGACAATTCAAAAAATTTATTTGCATTTTTAAAAGGGTTTTAGCTTTCAATTAGATCATGAAATCCATTCCTCGTTCCTTCAAATTTCACCATTAATTTTAGCTCTCAAATAAATGTTCACATTATTAATTTTAATTTTATTATTATAATATTTAATTTAATTACTATAATAAATAATTTTACAATCACATCAAAAATTTTAACGCGAAAGATATATCATAAATATAATGTACTATTTCACCTCCTCTACATCCACATTCTAAGAAATTTAAACTTGGTTTAGCTGGGATTTTTGGTATTTTTGATTAATTGTTATAAAGTAAAAATAAATGGTGAAAAGTAATTGAATAATTAATTTAAAATGAATAAATAATTATGATACGTAATGCACTAATTATAACTTTATATGTGAAAAATGTTGTTTAATATGTGATAAGTCATATGATAATATAATAATGAATATGTTCATTGGTTGGTATTTTTTTATATAAATGTAACATTTGATTGTAACTATAATTTTTATTAATTATATTTTTCATAAGAAAATTCTATAAATTAATTAATTTAAAGATACATAATTTGAAAATAAAAATCCTTATTGGTTGATAAATGTTAAATAATTTTGTTTGACTGAATTATTGGTTAGATTTCCAAAAAATAACTCTAAACTAAGAAGTTTCATTGAGATTTCAAAAGCCACTCCTTTGTTTATCAATTTTTTGATAAATTTTATGTGGTTATTTTTTACTTCGAAGAGTAGATGGAAATTTCCAAGTTCCACATTTTTCTTTACAAAAATTAAAAATTTTTATTGGTGTAATGACCAGTGTATATCAATGATCAAAATTTAAATTTAGACGATTTTAATTAAAAAAAAAAATACTATCACCACCCAAATAACTTTGACTTAATTAAATCTTTGTATGCATTGGCCACTGCACTTGGTCAAAACTTTTAATTTTTGTAAAACAATAGCGATGTTGATGGTATATCTAAGTCTTTAATCGGAAAAAAGTTGATTAAAGGAAATATAGCGCTTGGAGGGTTTGGATGTTAATTTTTACTGATGGTGCTGTGATAATCAAATGTGTGTTGACTAAACGATCAAGAAAATTAATTTATTAATGGAGTAAATAAGTATAACAAGCTTGAAAAATGAAAATTTCCATCCCATCTTCGTATAGAAAATAACCACAAAATCCACGAAAGATTGATGTATGGTTCCTGAAATTCCAAAGAAACTTCTTGGTTTAGATATTTTATTTGACGTTCAAATTAGTTAGCAAATTTGCACAACAATTGTCTCTTCAAAAAATATGATGAATCTTAATTTATAATCTAATCTCCCTTAATTATTTTACAGTAATTGCAATCCAAAGTGTTACTTATATAAGAAAATCGTTTTGCATCATACAAAATTTTTTTTCTCAAGGCATGAGTTTTTGTATTTCATTTCAAGTTTTATTATGCATGAATTAGATTTAATTTTATATTGAATTTATCCAATTATGTATTGATTTAGTAGTTAATTTATTTGATTTTATTGTATAATAATGAATATATTTATGAATTTGTTTTAATATATTGGTAATAGAATTTTTTTAATTTTTATAAATGAAATTAAAAAATTATAATAAGTTTTATTTTTAAATATATTTTACAATGTATTTTTTCACTTTTTTTAATTTATTCGAGAAATTTAAAAATTTTAGTAGGTATAAATGAGAAATTTTTTTATATTTATTTGTTGATAAAAAGTTTCAACGGACACAAAAAATTATAATTTAATGATAAAAACAAATAATAAATATTAAAATTTAAATGTTATACCAAATATCTCGTTTTAAAAGTATATTACAATATTTTAATATTAAAATTCTCTTTGAAAAATGCTTCTTCCAGACTACTTTTAAAAAAGGTTGGGTGTGGGGGCCAGTGAGTGAATGCTACTCTTATCATTTGTGTAGAGTCAATGACTTTTGCACTAAAAACAAAAAAAGGGGCCCTGTCCTTTCCTTTTCTTTGACAGCTATTATTGTTGGGAAAAAAAAAATTCAAACTTACCTTTATTTTTATCCTATTTTTTATTTGGATTCAAAGTTCAAAGCAACTTCCTTGTGAGTGCTCATGTCACTGTCTTCATTACTTATCCAACTCACAAATAATCAAAGCCTCTCATTTTTTATATTTCCACTTCCAATGTCCAGGATCTAAGAGATAAATTTGACAATCTAATCTAATATAATGATATAATAAAAAAATAAAAATAATATAATTAAAATTTAGCAACAATTATATGTAGAAAAAAAATACTTGACAATTCTTATTAAAATTAGCTGTTTTTATATGCATAATGCAATCGTGCTTTCTCTTTGATGGACTCTAGATGAAAATTTCATGTACATATCAAAGTAGTTGTTCAATTTTTTCCCATGCAATTTCCCAGGAAATTTCTGTAAAAGAAAATATGATCCATTAACAAGCTCTTGTGCTTTCTTTATTATCTGTTGCGGATTCAATCTTTTCTTTGTTGGAAGTTGCAATTTCCTTTTCCCATTAGCCTATGAATAATCAACATATCACAAGGCACCATATACAAAATGCCCTGTATGTTTAAAGAAATAAATTTTTAATTTTGGCATTTCAATTTTTATTTTATTAAACATTTTGATACTTCCCATTATTATCATCCATTAAGTAATTGATATGGTATGAATACTTAGTAAAAACATATCACATGTCATAAATATTTAATTATCTATTGTCACATGATTTTTTTTTCTTTCCCCGATTCCTTCCCTTTCTCTTTTATAATTCTTTTATTTTGAATTAAAAATATATGTTTTAAAAATTATTTGAATTTTTTATATAAATATTGATGTAAAAAATAGATGATGTGATAATAACTAGATATTTATCTCACTTATCATGATTTTATTAAATATTAATAAAGTACCAAAATATTTAGCGAATAAAACTTTGGATACAAGATAATTTTATTTTTTTAAGTATTAAATCGATAAAAAATGTATAATATAAAAACCATTTTTAAAAGTGTATAATATAAAAACCATTTTTATGTTTAATCCTTAGTGATTTAAAATGCTCCCTTGTTTTAAATTATTTGGTTCTTTTTTATTTTCACATAGTATAAAAAATTTTAATTTTAGTGTATTTAATATCAAATTTTATTTTTTGTAAAATTAATGTTTCATGATTTTTAATGTTAAAAGATAAAAAATAATAAAAATAAATTTAAAATATAAAAATTAGATATTAAAAAATAATTTTGAGACGTTTCACAAAATTAGAGATAATATCGTAATGATATATGAATTATAATAAAATATTAAATCGTGATAGTTAAACCTTATAAAATTTTTATGAGATATTCAAATTATGAGATTTTTAATTAAAATAATACTTAAAAGGTCCTTTGTTAATCACATATCATTAATTAAAATAATAATATTAAATATGAATATCACATAATTAAAAGATTTCATCTTGACGCTAGTTGGCATAGCATCAAGACGAAAGGGACATGACGGACTCAGATGTGACACATCACCAGCTAACTTTCATGGATTCTTCACGCGCATGGCTTCCACCATCACTCTGTAATCATATATTATTCAAATTTCCTGGTGCTAAATATAATCACTCTATGCTCTAACTTCCGCTCTTCAAACTACTCTTCATCCCTGAACCAATTCCATCTAATCTTTCACTTGAGTTCAAGAAGCACTCTTCTTCATTCTTCTATTTGCATTTACTTCCTTTGATCTTTTCCGAATTTCCTTATCAAAGCAAAAAAAAAAAAAAATGGCTGAGGCTTTGGTGGGTGGAGCCTTTCTCTCTGCTTCCCTCCAAGTTATTTTCGACAGGATGGCTTCCCGTGAGGTTTTGGACTTCATTAGAGGAAAGAAACTTGAAAATGGCCTTCTTAAGAAACTGAAGCCAACGCTCATGTCTGTTAATGCAGTGCTGGATGATGCTGAAAATAAGCAGATTACCAACCCGACTGTCAGAAGCTGGATTGATGAGCTCAAAAATGCTGTGTATGATGCGGAGGACCTACTCGATGAGATCGATGCTAAAGCTCTTCGAAACAGGATGGATCAAACTAGTACTGTAAAGCAAGTAAGAGGCTTTTTCTCTTCTCTGAATCATTTCGAAGAGCCGATGGAGTCAAGGCTGGATGAGATCCTTGGGAGACTAGAATCTCTATTCAACCAAAAAGACACCCTCGGTTTGAAAGAATCTAGAGGAGAAAAGGCATTTCTAAGACCCCCTGCAACTTCTTTGGTGGATGAATCCGGTGTTTATGGCAGAGATGATGAAAAAGAAGCAATACTGAAATTGCTGGACCCCGAATATGCAAGTGAAAATCAGATGGATTGGATACCTATTGTAGGTATGGGCGGGATTGGTAAAACCACCCTTGCACAATTGATCTACAATGACGAGCGAGTGAAGGAATGGTTTCCCCTCAGAGCATGGGTGTGTGTTTCGGAGGAATTTGATGCTTTCAGGGTAACCAAAACTATTCTTGAAGAGATCAATTGTAGCTGTGATGGTAGTCAGAACTTAAATCAGCTTCAACTTCAACTAAAGGAGAAGCTATCTGGAAAGAAGTTCTTATTTGTTTTAGACGATGTTTGGCACAAGAGATATGTTGACTGGGAAGAATTGAAAAGACCTTTTACTTCTGGGGCAAAAAATAGCAAGATTATTGTAACAACACGTGACGAAAACGTTGCATCAATCTTGAGGAACGTTCGGACTTATCATCTTAATTTCTTATCTAATGGTGATTGTTGGCGACTGTTCGAAAAGCATGCATTTATCAATACAAGCCCAAGCATGCATCCGAATTTGAAGGTAATCGGTGAAGCAATTGTCGAGAGATGCAAAGGTCTTCCTTTAGCTGCAAAAGCACTCGGAGGTCTCCTGCGTTGTAAACTAGATGCTGATGAATGGGATAAAATACTACGCAGCAATTTGTGGGACCTACCAGATGACGCAGGTACTATTCTTCCGGCATTAAGATTGAGTTATTATTATCTTCCTTCCCATTTGAAGCGTTGCTTTGCATACTGTTCAATTTTTCCTAAAGATTATGAATTCAAAAAGGAGGAACTCATTCGATTATGGATGGCTGAAGGTCTTTTACAATTTTCCAGAGTAAATGGCAATGCGGAAGAACGAGGTAATGAGTACTTCAAAGACTTAATGTTGAGGTCATTTTTTCAACAATTAAGTGGGGATAAATCTTGCTTTGTCATGCATGATCTAATTAGTGACTTGGCAAAATCTGTAGCTGGAGAATTTTCTTGCATATTGGATATTAGCGGTGATTCTAGTGAAATAACTAGAAACACTCGTCATTTGTCCTATGTCCAAAAAAAATATGATGTGCTTAAGAAATTTGAGACGTTATCCAAAGCAAAAGGTTTACGAACATTCTTAACTTTAGAGTCATCTTCATGGCTTTGTTATGTTACTGGCCACATAATGCATGATTTGATAGTAAAATTTAGATACTTACGAGTATTTTCTTTGGCTAAATGTAATAATATCAATGAGTTGCCAGAAGAAATTGATAATCTGAAGCTTTTACGATATTTGGATCTCTCGAAAACTTCAGTTAAAAGGTTGCCCAACTCTTTGAGTACGTTGTACTATTTGCAAACATTACTATTGTTTGGATGTTTCTGCCTTGTTGAGTTGCCCAAAGACATGAGAAGATTGATCAACTTGCACCATCTCAATATTCGGGAAACAAAGTTAGTAATGATGCCACAAGGAATGGGCAAATTGAAAGAGCTTCGGACATTAACAGATTTTGTTTTAGGCAATGGTTCAAGCGTTAACGAGTTGGGAAAGCTGGAGCATTTATGTGGAAGACTTGCTATTTCAGGTTTGCAAAATGTTGTCAGTGCAAGGGATGCCAAAGATGCCAATTTGAAGAATAAGATGAACCTTAAGGAGTTGGAGTTGATATGGACTAGGGTTGATCTTATTGATTATGATTCAAAGCATGATAGAGAAGTACTTGAACAACTGGAGCCTCATACAAACTTGGAGCATCTTGTCATTAGGTTTTATAGAGGTACAAGATTTCCAGAATGGGTGGGGCGTTCTTCATTCTCAAATGTAGTATCTGTGGAGTTACGTGATTGCAAATATTGCTTCTCCTTGCCACCGCTTGGGCAACTATCAGCTTTGAAATCTCTCTCAATTAAAGGGTTTGCTAGAGTAGAAACAGTGGGTGATGAGTTCTATGGGAATGGTCATGCTTCCACTAAACCATTTGGATCTCTTGAAATTCTAAGATTTGAGGATATGCCAGAGTGGGAAGAATGGTTTTGTTCGAGAGATCATGAAGCTTTCAATGTTCTACAAGAGCTAAGCATAAGAAAATGTCCCAAGCTAACCAAGTCTCTGCCCAGGCACCTCTCTTTATTAAGGAAGCTTGAGATTAGAAATTGTGAGAAGCTTGGAGGCATGCTTCCAAGGGCACCAAGCATTTGCCAACTTGATGTAGAGAGATGTGATGGATTGCAATTGGACCCATTGCCTTGTGGGCTTCGAAGGCTGGCAATTTTCAATTCGCATATGAATGATTCCATATTGGAGACGATGATGCAACACTGCACTTGTCTTGAAGAGTTAATGATGCAGGATTGTTCTAATATCAGTTCCCTTCCTGAAGGTAGTCTGCCTAACACGCTAAAGACATTGAGCATCGAAAGTTGTCCTGTCTGGGATTATTCCAAAATCCTCTTGTTTAAATTTCTCGAATCCTTGTGCATTGAAGGCGGGTGTCATCCACTGGAATCCTTCCCATTAGGATCATTCCCTATGCTAGGTAGTGTTGATATTAAATATTGTGAAAACTTGAAGTGGATTGGTGCATTAGACGGGCCTCATCACCAGCATCTCGCATGTCTCAATTCTTTGAAGATCTTTTTTTGCCCTAATTTGATATCTTTTCAAATTGAAGAGGGATTATCTGCCACCAATTTAACAGCACTTACGCTTGCTGGTTGCAGGAATTTAAAGTCATTGCCAGAGCATATGCACTCCCTCTTCCCATCCCTTGCGTTTTTGAGTGTATTATTTTGTCCAGAAATAGAGTCATTTCCAAGAGATGGTTTGCCCTCTAAATTAGAAACGATTGATATGGCAAAAAGTGATAGGCTGTTTGCAGGCATGATGAGGAGGGAATGGAGTTTGCGAGCACTCCCTTCACTTACAACCTTCGAAATCAGAGATGCCAGACAGATTGAGTGTTTTCCAGATGAACATCTGCTGCCCTCTTCTCTTACTCATCTTGGGATAGTGAATCTTCCAAATCTTAAGCTTTTGAATGGCAAGGGCTTTCAACACCTCACCTCTCTCCGCGAATTGTGGATCGACGTATGTCCGACACTCCAATCCATCGGGCCAAATAAGCTCCCTGACTCTCTTTCTTGTCTAGTCATTTGGGGGTGTCGTTTGCTGGGAAAACGTTGCAAAAAGAAGACAGGTGCAGATTGGCCCAACATTTCCCACATTCCTATCATTAAAATTGAGGATGAAGTCATTCTATAGCTTCACTCAGGTACTCTTCCATTCTCTATTTATTGTTTTTTCTTTTAAAATGTACGCAATCCGTCTCAGCCCTCAGGTCATATTGCTGCTTTCTTTGCTACATACAAAGTTAAGCTAAACTGTGGATTCTGTAGTGTTTCTCCATTTTTATGTTCCACTTTTATAATTTATTTAATTCATGGTTCTTCATTCTTCATGAAATTACAAGTGTTAAAATTACTTTGATCAAATTTTAGATTGCATTGTTAATAATACTCATGAATATATGAATTGTATAATGATAAGGGTAAAATTGACTACTTAATCAGATTGGGGATTCCATATTTATTGGTTTATTTTTTTATATAATTTTACCTCCTACTACATTTTTTGTGCAATTCTGTGAATTCACTCTACAAATATTGCTACGTTTTGTACCATTACCCTCCCGTTCTTCGTTTTGCTGTTTAACTTCTTAATAGCTAATTAAAAGGTATTTAACCTCATTCTTAGCAGATACTTCATCTAGTATATTCTTCTATTGGTCTTCCACTAAATGACCTACAAGGCTACAACAAATCAAATGTAGGTATCTTGTGCCACTTATTATTATTATTATTATTATAAAAAATTTGATGGTCCTTATTAAAGAAATTTATACTAGCTTGAAACTGAAAAGCTATGCAACTAGGTTAAGCCTTTAGTGCTCAATTTTACAATTATTAGAAGAAATTTTGTTACTTGTGCCAATACTGTTGTGGTTGCTCTAATGAATTCAAGACCAATTAAGGCTAACATTGATGCTTCTCTAGTTAGTGACTTGTGCTTTTGGGATACAAAGTAGACTTGCAACTAGTGATCTTCAATTGCAGTCCTTTCTCTTTCAGATTGCCAATAACTATTTGATGAATGCCTCATCACTTGCTTCCTCTTACTTCTAAAATTCTGTTGCAAATTTGAGTTGGTTGAATATGTGATTTTTCATCTTATTTCACAGAGTTTTGAATTCAATTCCTTCTTATGATTAACCTCGTTTAACTATAAAATGTGTTTTGAGTTTTTATAATTTTTTCCATAGGTGAGTGAGGTTAGAAGACAAAGAAGAACTTGGTTTCAGATAGAGATTCTACACCGAGAGTGAAGATGAACAAGATGAGGAGAAAGTATTTAACAGACATGAAGGAGAAGATCATGGAAATGTATCTGATGCTTTTGATTCTTCTGCTCAGAACTGGCAGCAGAACAACCCCACTTCCTACTACACTTCATGGCCTCAAAGTTACAGGTCATTTCTGTTTTCACATGCTTACATGTTTGTACTACTGCTATGTTTTTCTTTGCTTTGTTCTGTTGACTTTCATAAAAAGTCTCATAGCAGGCTGGATAATTTTTTTTCAAATATTCTTTTAGGTAATCGTCAGGAGGTTAGATAAGAACCAGCCACTGAAAAAATTTTAATGTTTGCTTTTCTCTTTCTGGGATAGAGAAGTTTGTTAATATCATGACTTTGATTTGCCTTTCTTGATGAGGAATAGCTTGTGTATTTAGTATCGGAGATGGTATAGAAAAGAGTATAAAATTAAAGGAAAATAGAGATAGGTCTAAGCAGATCTTTAGAAAGGGAAAGAAGTACTTAAAACATGCTTGATACATTTGTGATAAAAATCTTGGATGAATGTTGTTAAAACTTTGTAGAGGTGAAGCTTCTCTATGACACTTTGGCCTATAAATTCATCTCCAATTATTGAATTATGCTACCTTGTTCATATTGGAAGTATGAATCCTCTATGAGGCCCTAGTAGAGATAGAATATTTAAGTTGGTGCTTAATTTGCTGCAAATTGTTTTGTAGCCTTCCGACTCCCTTCATTTGGGTATGAGTTGCAAATTCTAATTTATGATTCCCATTCAATTGAAGTTCTTGTCAAATGATTTGTTCAGCCTGGAGATTCATGACTTCATTTTTTTATACCAGAATTACCAGCATGAAAGTTTTCAATACATCAATGGCTTGGCATCCAGCTCAGTGTATTTTGTTTCAAATTTGGATTTCCTAGAGCTGCAATGAAGATGTGCTCAAATTTCAACTCAATAGAGAAAAAGGATTTCAATTCTTCTCTTGTACAGTTATGAAATCAGAGGCTCCATATTCTTTAGTTCATGTCAGGAGCACTGTCTTCCTTAACATAATGATTCATTCAGTATTTCAGTTCAAGGACTACTCAAACAACTTAGACAGCTGTTGAAAGAGTCCTACAGTTGAAGGTCTTACTGAGTAGTAACTGTGGATCCTAACTTCCATCGGTACGTTCTTTAAGCAACTAAGTCATGTAGATTACATCAAATTTTAATTTCATTTGGAAATCTACATTTGAGAAGATGAATTTGGATTTAAAATATATGAGTTATATAATTAAACTCAAATACATGGATTTATGAAATTTCTCTTGAATAATGAGTTCCAAATACATCCTTTTATACTCTCTTAAATGTAATGACTGCACTCATCCTCACAAAAATGAACAACAAATAAAATTCAAATGTATCCTCTCAAATAATTATTTTCAAATGAAGCATTAAGGTTTTAACAAATCCTGAATTGCCAGGAACAGGTTTATCTGAAGACAATGAAGAATGTGGGGTCATCCTCTCATCTTGAAGAACTATACTTAAATAAGCTAATTGAGGTCTTGTCCTTTCAATGAGACTTGAGAATAATGATTGGGGACAGTTTGTGGGTTAATTTCCAGTTGCAGCAATCTATGAATTTGAGTTGGTTGAATTTGATTCGCTGCCTCTTGAGGGATTGTTTTGTCTGCACAAGGTGTAAAGTAGCATTTTCCATTTTTCCCTACTTAATGTGGCTTTGGTTTATTTGCATCTTCTGGAACTTCTTTTACGTAGCATGTATTTGGTATATTGCATATACTGACCATCGATGTCACTTATCTCTTGATCTTTTACCAGGTTTTTTATTCTTATGTTCTTGCCAGATTTGAGGCTTTTTGCAACCATCTTGTTAGCGACTGTGATTCACAAGCATGGCTTCAACCTCAATTTCTTATAATCTTTCTGAAGACTTGCTAGCCTGTTCTGTTCACATTCATCATTTTATTGTAAACTAAAAGGTTGAAGAAAGAGAAGCCGTAGTTTCAAATATGAGGTAAAACAGGTAGCTCTTCTTTCCTTTTTCCTTTTAATTCCAACTTATGTGATGGGTTTGGAAATTTTTCTGTCAATAATTGATTATTAGACATTTAGTTTGATTCACTTCTTAATTATTTACATATACGTTCACTTCTGAATTCATGTCATTTACTTAAATTGACTTTAGAGTATATTTGTTTTTGCCTTTATAGGTTCCGATGGAGAAGAAGGTGCAATAGGCATCCATTCTTTGAAGTAAGAAAGGCAAAGATTGGCGTCAAGTACTTGCATGACAAGCATCAATTCTTGTCAAAATGGAGAAAAATGTCAGTTTGTCCTGTTTCTTCACTTTACTATGACGCCTTTTGTTTTTAAGGAAGCAACAATGTGTTCTCAACTCTTAGGTCAGTGAAAATTTTAAGCTATTCACTTCTCTTGAATGTTGCTTTTTGGTGGTCATTTCATATCGCAGAAAGGGATTTTAACGTTGCTTTGTTTCCAGCAAATTAAGAAAATTTTCTTTTCTTGTGGGTTCTAGAGGAGAGTGGAAAGAATTTCACCCAGTTCTTCACATACTCTTTTCGAAAATCAACAGCCCTGTGATGAAATGAAATAGACTCGGACAGTTCATTTTTCCTTCTGCTTACAAGTTTTCATTGAGGTTATATTGCTTGGTCATTTCCATTATTTCACTATCAATGGTGACTGAATTGCTTAGTTCTTTTTAATACTGTTTTTATAAGCATTTTTTTAATACTATTTCTATTGTCGTTTCAGAGCTTTTCAAGTTATTGAGATGTATTATTGATCTTTGGACTTTGTAGATCTTAGCTTCTGACAAAACTTGACAAAGGCAGGGTAACTTTGTGCTTTTTGTGGGTTTATAAAGATATGCTCTTTGTTGTATCTAAAGGGTGACAACTGTTTGTGTCTTATTACTTGCTGTTTTTTTTTTTTTTTCTCTTTAAATTCCTAATGGCCAATTAAAAGTATTTCACCCATTCTTAACAGATATCCTATCTGGTATACTCTTCTTTGGCTCTTCCACTAAAAGACCTATAACAAATCAAATGCAGGTAACTTGTGGCACTAACTAATATTATTATCAAAATTCTGAAGGTCATTTTCCAGGAAATTTCATACTTTGAAGTTAAACATGCCATGCCAACTAGGTTAAGTCATTCGTCCACTGTTCAATTAGAAAATATTTTGTAACTTGAACAAATTCTTCTCTGATTGCTGTACTGAAGTCAGGCAGAGCTAAGGTTAACATTTTTGCTTCTCTGGTTAGTGCTGAAAGTTATGTTTCCATAATACAGGTCACTTCTGCTTTCTGCAATACAAAGTATGGAGGTGCAAACTAGTGAATAGTGATCTTCAATTGTTCTTCATTACATTCTAGGCTTCTGGTTGCTATTTGAGGTATGCGTCATCAGTCCTCATTTGCTTCCAGTTATAAGAAATTGTTGCAAATTTGAGTTTATTATTGCTGGTTTGTTAAGTTTCTTCTGCATCTAGATTTATTCTGTATTGGAGCTAACATAGAAGCTTGCTTTTTTTTCAAGATTATGCTCCATGAAAATTTCAAGCGGTCTACTATTGTCGTCAGCAAGAGGATGAATGTCTTTGTAGCAAGTTCATCTTAAATTTTGAATTGTCAAAGCAGCATAGAGGATGATCTTACATTGTTCATACTCTTCATATCAGTTAATGGTTGAAACACCAATTTCAGTTTTTCGGAACTATCAGAGATCAAAAACAGACCCCATTCCAAAGACCATGCCAGGCAAGCCTTTTTCAAATATAAAGAGTGCTCTACCCGTTCAACAAATGGGAGGGAGAGGAAGGTGTGGAAAAAGTCCTTTCCAAACGCATTGTGCATGCAGAATTGAAACTGAACTGCTTGTGATTGAAGTCGGATGTCAATTTTCTTCTGAACTTCATACAATTTCATTTCTTTTGTTTGGATAATTGCAACAACTTCATTTTTCTTTCCCTTTTTAATTGTTAATTTCTTGTTAACTTTTGGCTAAATCGTCTGCCAAAGTACTTGACATAGTTGGAGCTTTTAGGAACAAATGATACTATCTGATATATTATCATTTTTTTCATCCAGATGGACTTTCTGGGCTTTTTCCCAAAGTGATTAAAGCTATCGATGGAGCATGATTTAAGTTGTTGGTCCTTTGAATTTTGGGCATCCTGTAACAATTTCTCTTGATTTGTGCATGCATTACATCCATGGAAAATAAATAAATACATATATATATATATATATATATATATATTTCAAAACCATCTCCAAGAACACGTCATCAAAAATCACAATTGTTTAGTATCTGGCATAGGTATGTGCAATTAACTATCCACTGATCAAGATAAGAGGAAATTGAAAAACATCTTAGATCTGTTTTATTGGTAGACCAGTTCAGAAACTTGATTTCAAAGGTTTTAGTTTATGTAACCCAAACCTGAACTGTAAAGCAATTTGCCAGTTGCCCACCTATTCATTGGTATATATGAGAGTTATAAAAAGTGACTTCTGCAGCAGAAACAAACGATGGAAAAGCCAAATCCGACAGCCGAAACAGTTCAATTGATTGGTCATTTAAGTCTGCTCAATCTCACATAAGACCCCACGAAACCTTTCTAAAAAATCTGTAAATTTTTTCTGATAAATTAGATTGCAAAGAATCGTTGCTTTAGGAAAATGAACAGGGGCATCCTCTTTCTTTAACTAAGCTGTTCTATTGACACTGTTGCTTTCAAGATCCAACAATGAAGAAAATTTTGAGCAGAAACTTCAATTTATTTCTCCTATGTCTTCAAATATGATGCTATGAATTCTTGACAATGCTCTTTGTTCTGCTGTCGTATGAGAAGGCAATACTATTGAATAGGGGTGAGCAACTAATTAATTCGATTTAAAAAAATTAATAATTAATTTAATTAATTTTAATTTAACAAATAATTGAATCGATCAAATATTTTTAAATAATTAATCATAATCGAATTGATAAAAATCGAATTAAATAATTAAAATTTTTTATTATAAATAATTATTTAATAATAAAATTTAAATTCAAGTATCATTCAAATTAAATAATTAAAAAATTTAATAATTTTAACAATATTTTACAAAAAAATAAATAAAAATATTTGCTTCAAATTTTTTTTTTTACTTGTTAGAAAGTCATTTAATTTAATCAGTTAAGTTATCAATTTTAAAAATAAAAAAATGATCTTATTAATTAATTTAATTACTTTAAAATTTTAATTATAATTAAAATCGAATAAATTAAATCTATTTAACCGAATTTAATTGATTTTAATCAATTAAATCAATTTAAACCGATTTTTACTTGTCCCTTTTGCTGAACCTTCTGCTATAACTTCTCTAACATAGGTTCCTCGTACAAAGTTAAAATCTACAGACTTCTACCTCTACCAATGCCATTATATCCTTTTTCACTGCTATTGACTAGTATGGGGGATGGTCAGGTATTTTTTTAACAAAAGAGATCGTTGCCTGAATACAAGAAAAAAACTTGTGTTAAAATTTAAATTTAAATGTATTTGATGGGATCTCTTTGCTGTAAATTTAACGGCACAACAGAAATCAGATTACGCATATTGTTTAGTGATGGTAAAAAAGGTCGCTGAGTAAAAATTAGTTGGTTTAGGGCAACAAGAACAACTCTAGAAGTTATGGTAAAGAAAATTTTTTTACACATTTTGCACCGGATTTTGTATGGATGCTTAAGTTGATAAAAGTTATATGCAAAGCCTTTATGTTAGCATTTATAAATAAAATTTATATTTAATACATCGTTAATATATAAATTTTATATATTATCAATAAATAAGATGATATCATTTTATTAATGAATAAATATTAATTTTAAAAAAATATAAAAAAATTAATATTTTTTTAAAATTATATTAATAAAATGATATCATCTTATTAATTAATAATATATAAAATTTATACAGTAATTATGTATTAAATATAAATCTTTATGAATATCTCTTTTTAAAATTTTACAAACTAAATGAGATATATACATACATTAAAATAATAATTTTTTATGATTTACCATGCCCATATCAAATAAATATTAAGAGCTTATTTGGCATGAAAATGAATAAATAAAAATTTATTTATTAAAAATATAAATAAGATAAAAGATTTTATTACAAAACTTTTTATCATTTTTTCAATTAAAAATAATTCATCAAATAATTTTAAAAAAGAGATAGGGTGAAAAAAACCTTAAAAAATGAAAACCTCAATGATTAAAATTTGAAAGTTAAAACTTAAAGCAGTTTCATGTCTAAAATAGTGTGTACAAAAATTACTAAAAATAAAATTAAAATCTCAACGATTAAAATCTAAAACAATTTCACGTATACATATATATACACCCTAATTTCTCCTTTCAATCCTCTACCATAACGCCATATAAATAAAAAAAAAAAAATGAAATCAAGTATTCCTTAGAGATAAACGTCCATGCACGTAATCACCGTCCATCACCGTCCTTTCTTTATCAAACGTCTCACATCAAATATTTCTGGGTCCCACTTCCCACTTCCCTCTTTGTCTTTTTCTTTTTCATTTTTTTTTACTTATTTAAAATTTCTCAAATAAAAAGACAAAAAAAAAAAAGGAAACCGCCGTTCGGAAAGGACTTCAGAGAAGGCATTAACGCGATCTCCTCCGCCTTACCTCGTCTCCTTCTATAAATTTTTTTCTTTAATTTTTTTTCAATTTTTAAGATAATTGTTGTTTCTGAAAATATTTTCAATCCCCCAAAGAAACTTTTTTTTTGGTTTAAAATTTTCGAATTTCTCTTATAAGAAAGAAAAAATAAAGGAGTCTTGATCTTCAAGCACCGTAAGTTTTCTCTTGCGACGTCGTTTAATCGCAATTCAATAATAGAAATAAATATTGTTGCTGATTTCGTTTCCTTTTTTTTTTTTTTTGGTTGGGTTTCAGGGTGATAGGTTTCGGTGCTTCGTTGTTAATTGATGAGGGGATTTGCTTGAAGGTTATTCTTTTGGAATTTCTATAAGTTTTTTTATTTAATTTCAATGTTTAATGAAGCTGTGTTTCACGGATTACAAAGGTTTTAAAAAAGAAATTGTGCAAACTAATTTAACGTTTTATACATTGCTGAGAGACTATCAAATTTTTTAAATAAAAATTCTAGTTTTTGTTTTTATAATTTTAATGTTCCATTGTGTGCACTGTTTGGTTGCTGAAGATGAGACTTTAAAAAAAAATTGTTTTTTTATATTGAATTTTAATGTTCTATTTGGTCGCTGAAATTGGATTGAAAAAATTGGCTGTTCGTAATTTCCTGAAGATGGAACCTTTTCTTAAAGTTAACAAAATTGTAAAGTTGTTCAATTAGTCATTTTTATTTGCAGGTATTCACGTTTAATGACTGAAAAATACTGGTAAAGAATAGTAAAAAAAAAGAAAAAGAAAAAGGAACTGAATTCCTAGTATGAAACACTTGTTTTTTTTATTTCTGGCGTCTTCAAACACAAAATCCATTATTAAATGCCTTTGTAAATGAAGAAGAAGAAGAAGTAAATAAATGTTAAGACTTTGAATGATGGGTTTAGATTATCTTGGCTTATTGATTTACTTTATATTTTATTTATTTAATTTTTTGTAAATGTAGGGTTTTGGGCAGTAACATAGATATGCTACCAACTATAGATAATGGTTTAGAAAGACCTAGTAGGAATTTGGAAGATAGTTTGACTGAACTAGAATTGATTTTGCGAGCTCATCGAAATCAACAATTTGTGGGTCGTGAAAGGGATCTTAACATATATAGGAGTGGCAGTGCTCCGCCCACGGTTGAGGGATCCTTGAGTGCTGTTGGTAGTCTGTTTGCTAATCCTGATTTTGGAGACATTAATGGTATAAATGGTGTTGTTGGTAGTAGTAGTAGCAATAATGGAATGTTGTCTGAAGATGAGATACGCTCGCATCCTGCATATCTTTCATATTATTACTCCCATGAAAACATAAATCCGAGGCTGCCTCCACCATTGTTATCGAAAGAGGACTGGCGTGTTGCACAAAGGTTTCAGGCTAGTGGTTCTTCCCTCGGGAGCATTGGGGACTTGAGAAAGAAGTTGACTGATGGTGGTGATAGTTCATCACTATTTTCAATGCAGCCTGGTCTTTCTGTACAACAAGGACAAAATGATTTGATGGAACTGAGGAATGCCAATGCAAGGAATTTGTCCAGGAAGATGTCAGCTGAGTGGCTTGATAGAGGCTCAGATGGCGTGGTTGGGCTGTCTGGTACTGGGCTTGGTGCAAGGAGGAAGAGTTTTGCTGACATTCTTCAGGTGATGTAGCCCCCAGTTTAATTGCTGAGTTTGTAGGTTTTGTGATTTTTTTAACCTCAGTGTGGCATGATTTATTTTAATGTGTCTGTCTGATATGGATTGTTTAATCCCTTTTGTTTTTTTGGTGATATTCATGTTACTATAGATTTCCCTTATAGATGATTTCCAATTTATTTTTCCCCTTTTGCTTTGTTTAATTATTGTACTTTTTTCTTGTATTTTGTCTTTGTGGTGGGGTTGTGATAAAACAAGATCTTTATTTTGATTGTAAATGTGCCATTGAATGATTGGGTGAAGTTCTCTAAATATCTCATATGGTTGGTTAGGTTCTCCTACTTTTTTCTTAGATCTTTTACAGTTTCCATCTGGCATCTACCAGTTTGCTTTTCCTTTTCTGATCTTTTAATTCCTTTTGTTTTAGATTGAACCTATCTTTTAATTCACTAAACTATTTACTCAACTCATTTTCTCGATCAAACAACTTCTAGGCATTCTACGGAATTTATGGGAACTGTAGTATATATTTTTGAATTAGTTGGGGATGATCTTCTCTTTTTTTTTTTTTTTCATGTCTTTCATGCTGTAAAGATTTTCATGAAAACCGTATAATACAACAATGTAATAACTTGTAACCTTCATATGATGATCAAAATAATTGGTGCAAATAAAAAAAGGGTATAAAATTTAAGCATCTAGATCCTAGATTATTTTCTACTGCCCTTCAAAATAATTCTTCTGCACCATTTATATTGGAATGTATTCAATTATTTTCAATTTTTGGATTACAACGTGATGTTACTTTCTGCCTTGAAGTTTTGTTATGTAATGATGCACGTTTTTCTTATTTTTATTACTTTTATT